GTTAGGGTTAGGGTTAGGGTTAGGGTTAGGGTTAGGGTTAGGGTTAGGGTTAGGGTTAGGGTTAGGGTTAGGGGTTGGGGTTGGGGTTGGGGTTGGGGTTGGGGCAGGGGCTGGGGTTGGGGTTGGAGCTGGGGTTGGGGTTGGGGCTGGGGCGCCGTGCCCAGGGGAACCCCTCCCCAGCCCCCCTGCCAGCAGACTCTGAGCTCGTCTCCCCTGGAGCTGGCGGGCAGCCCCAGGGCGGAGATCCCTGGCTGGGAGCCTGCCTGGCTGAGCCGGTGTGTGAATCCATCCCCTCCCGTCCCGCAGAGTGCAGGATGAAGCCGGAGGCATCGATCGTGCCTTGTAAATTGATACGGGAACCCCAGAGATACCTCTGTGCCTCCCAGCAGGAGCTCTGCAGGGACCAGGCCGAGTTTACTCCCTCTGGAGAGCCATGGAGGGGACAAGTTGGCATCACATGGGACCTGCTGGGCCCAAATTCTGCTTGGGGGATCATCCCCATCAGATGACATCCTGCAGGAGCCCTCACCCCAAGTCTGGACATGGGGAGCTGAGCTCTGTTGCTGCTCCTGTCACCTCCTTACTGCAGGAGCTTGGCTCAGTTAGAGAAGCTCTTCTGGCAGACATGTCCTTGCTGCTCCTGGCTGTTCTCTCAAGACCAGGAGTGTTATTCTTCACAGACATCCAAGCCCTGCAGCTCTCACAACTCCTGTGAGTGCCACAGCAACCTGAGAGGGAATCGCTGCAGGTCCAGAGCCAGGAGCTGCTGCTACTGAGCACCTCTGAAGCTCCTGTCGATTCCCTTGTCAGGGATTCCAGCCTCAGGAGAAGCTGTCAGGACTAGCTTCTCTTATTTGAAGGCAGTGATAAATCCTGCTCTGGAGGGTGCTGGCTGAAGTGCTCTGTCTCCGTGCTGGGTTAATGCAAGCCACATGCTGCTGCATTCCTGAGCGGGCAAACACCCTCCAACACACTTCTAATCAAGAGCCATGGAAAATTTATACTGCCAGGGAGAAAGAGCAGGAGGTGTCCTGGGTGTTGGCAGAAATCAAGGGCACTGTGACAGCTGGAGATGTGTGTAACACCAAAACACCCCATGTCACCCCATTAGCAGCTCCCAGTGGCAAATTTCTCCCAGTGTCACCCCGAATTCCTCTTTGTGCCTAAAACTGACAGTCCACATGAGCACAGGAGTGAGCACCCAGACCCTGGGACTTCCCCACCCTGTTCTGTCTCTGGCCATGAGCGATTTCCAGGGCTCAGAGGAAGCCTCTGAAAGCAAGTGATGCACTGGGCTCGGGATGATGCCTTCATGGCTACTGAGATTAGGGCAAGTAGGGGGAAGAAGGGACCAAATACACATGGAAAAAGCTGCTGAACCAGAGTGCTGTGACGCTGCCAATCTCTGGTTGAGCTCTAGAGCAGCTCTGAGATCGGGACCCAGGAAATACAAAGCTCTGCGGGAGAAGGGGAGATAAGTACCGTGCTTGGTTGTTGCTAAGAATACAATTATCCACACGCTAACGATTGCCTGCCTGATAGGATTACCAATAAAGACAAACGCAGTGAGGATCATGGCTTCACTTCCTTCCTCCCACCCGGGGATTTAATTCCATTTTTGTTTGAGTTTTGCCTTTCATCTGTCAATAAAAAAACTCTGATCCTGGTGGTATCTCCGGAGCCTTTTCCCTGGAAGAAACTTTCCGGCGTGAATTCCCAAGTCTGCTCCCCTCACATGCATCCTGCTCCGTGCTGGTTTCACCCTGGCAGGAATAGTTTAGACCTTCTAATTTCAGCCTGCTTTGTGAAAGGTTGGCTAATCCTCCCAGCAGTCTTGAGAGGCAGGAAATCCCCAGTGGCAGAGTCTGGAGGGACCTGACAATTCCTTGGCCACTCTGCTTGCCAGGTTGTGATGGCTTTTGGGCACATCCTGGTTTTTGAGTCTCCTGTTTTTCAGACCTCCCTGCAGCAAAACGTTCGGGAGGAGGCTGTGGCAGCCCAGCTGCTCTCGGCACCAACTTCACCTGGCGGCTGTAACAGCAGTTTCTGGCACTGATGTTCCCTTGCAGCTCCCGGGGAAGGTGGAGTGATGCTCTGGAGCTTGGCATGGATGTGCTGCCAGATGCTGCACACCCAGGGGAGTCAGGACAGCCTTCCTGGCCCTGCCAGCCCCTCCGCTACCCAGCCAAGGGCTAACAAGGTGCAAATTCTGATTAAACACTGTCCGGAGGCCAGCCGACACCCCAGTGTGTGCGAGCTCACCGAGCTCGGGTGTCTGCACCGGGAGCACCCCGTAGACTGACACTTCCTTTGCTCGAATGGGATCCCTTAACGAGTGACAGGACAAGAGGAAACGTCCTCAAGTTGCGCCAGGGGAGGTTTAGATTGGGTATTAGGAACAATTTCTTTACTGAAAGGGGTTATGGTCTTAGAAGTGTTTTCCAGTGTAGATGATTCTAGGATTTGACGGTGCAAGTCACCGCGAGCAGTTTGGGAATGACTTTGTGGGTATAAGGCAGTGCCTAATGAAAGATCCCCTTGTCCCGAGCTGGACTCTCGCATGAAGCAGAGCCGGGCTGCTCGCAGTTCAAGCCTTCCTCTCCCGGTCGCTCCCTCCCAAATCCCACCCCTGGGTGCGGGTGGATGCGGGAGCGCATCCCCGGCGGGCGGGGAGCGGGGCCTGGCTCTGGCCCCGGCTCGGAGGGGGAGGTGGGTGCCGGGGCCGGGGGGGCCGTGGCGGTGGGCAGGGCCGGCGGATGACGCCGGGTAAAGCCGGCCGAGAGCCGGCCCAGCCCCGCTGCCGGCCGAGCGCTGCCCGCGCACCCCCCGCGGCCGCGCAGTCGGGTCGGGCGGGCTCCGGCGGCAGGGCAGGATGGACCTGGCCGTGGACTTGTACCTGGCCGTCCCGCTGCTCTTCACCGTCCTGGCCCTCGTCCTCGCCTCCCTCTTCCTGAGGCTGCGGGGAGGCGGCGGCGAGCGGGCGGCGGAGGGGCCCCGGGAACCCGCGGCGGAGCCGGCTCGGGAGGGCGGCCCCGGGGGCGAAGCGGCGGCCGAGGGGCCGGAGGACGAGGGGAGCCGGGTGCCGGTGGAGGAGGTCGGGGTGGGAGACGAGGGGAAGGAGGCGGTCGCCGAGCAGCGGGACGCGGCGGCGGAGCCGGGCCCCGCGGCCGAGCCCAGCCCCGCGGCGGCCGAGAGCATCCCACGGCAGCCGCCCGCGGAGCCCCGGCAGCCGCCAGAGGAGCCCCGGCAGCCGCAAGAGGAGCCTCGGCAGCCTCCAGAGGAGCCCCGGCAGCCTCCAGAGGAGCCCCGGCAGCCTCCAGAGGAGCCCCGGCAGCCCGGGCACCGGGAGGATGCGGAGAGCAAGGTAAGGCCGGCTCGCCGAGGAGCCTCACCCGGGACCGCCGGGGTCCCTCCAGTCCCCTCGTGGTGTCCCTTCTCCACGCCTCCGTCCCCGCGGGTGGCGGGGAAGGAGCAGCGCTAGGGGTTTTCCCCTAAAATAAGAGAGGTCCTGGCAAACTCCGTGTTTTGTCTTCGGGTGGGAACAAGCCCGTTGTCCCCCGGTTTGGAGGGGTATTTCTGGCTCCTTCCCTCCCCCGTCCCCTAAGGAATGCTCCTAAAAATAATCAAGAAAGTAAAGATTTAAGGGAAGAGAAGCGTGTGTCAGTGTGAGCCTCTCCTGTGCGCACATCTAACCCCTGGGAGTCTTTTCCTTTCCCCAAGAGCTTATCCAGGTGCTGGGGTATGAACTTGTGTTTATTCTTCCCGTGCTCATCCCTTTTCTGTGCGCTACAGAAACTGTCCCCGTGCCGGCGCGGGTTCCTTGCGCTGTCCCTGCCTGCCCCAGGGAAGGGACCGCCCCGCTCCTTCCCAGCCCCAGCAGGATGCTGGCCCCAAGCTCTGACCCCTGGCTGAACTGGGGGCGGCAGCGATGCCTATAAACGCTCGATAAATCCTCCCTCCTCCCCCGGATCTTGTTTAAAAATAAAGGGGCGACCCACTGTCCATGGGAAGATCTTGTTCTGCTCTTGCCCAGCCTGGGTGGGACTCGACTCGGTGACAACCTGAGGCACCTGAACTCCCTGCCTTGGTGGCTTTCTCCCATGTAGCCGCTGTCCAAAAGCCGGGAAGGGAGTACTGGGGTGGCTCGGGGATGCGGGAGCGTCACCGTGTGCCGGCAGCGTGTTTGGGCCGGGACACGCAGGGCTGGGGCCCAGTCGCCTCCTGGCTATTATTAGCAGCATTTGTAATCCTCAGCAACTGTCTCCAGGCTGCCGGGCAGTGCGTAGACAGCTCTCGCCTTGGAGAGCACCTCCAGTGACTCACCGGACAGCCCTGGGCAGGTCCCGGGGGCTTACACACCCTGCTCTGTGCTGTGATGCTCTGCAACACCCAGGGATGACCTGCTCTAGGGCCTGGGATGTGGCTCTGCCTCCCTGCGCTCCTCAGCATCTCCCTTGGTGATTTGTGAGCCTCAGAGCTCTCTCTGTCCCCTTCCCGGTGCCCCATGCCCATGGATACAGCTCTTGAGCAGCCCCATCCCTTGTCCCAGCATCCTGGAAACCACATCTGTTTCCCTGTCGTGTGATTTATCAGTGCCTGTGAGTACCAGGATCTCTGGAGAGCTCCTGGGCCACCGTTAGCCAGCTGGGTCCTGGCTGGGCCAGCTCAGCACTGAAGTTGGCCACTCAGGTGGAGCTGCTCTCTGGTCAGGGACAGCACCATCAGGATAGAGGGCTGGATCCAGGGCTGCCAGAGCCCACAGGTTCCTCTGCTGCTAGCTCACATCTTGGAAATGTTTTCCTCCCCTCTGGCTGCTCTTCAGCCCTGATTTCTTTGAACAGGCACTGCTGCAATGCTTGTTGTCTTCAGAGAAGGGCTGAGCTCCTTTACCCCCGCTTGGCACAGGTGCAGTAACAGGGTTTTGTGTGCCTGGAATGAGTTCTTACTCAAGAAACGGGGAGTTCTGTGTCCCCCAGAAGCCTGGCTGGGCTTTATGGGCCTGGGGCTCCTCACTGCGCTCAGCCCCTCTTACAGCAAAGGGAACACTGGAGCAGCAAAGGGTCCTGGCCAGCTTTTCCTCCAGGGAAATTGTTCCTTCACTGTGTGAGCAAGGCAGAACAAGAAACCCTGGGCCTGAGCAGCATCCCTTTGGGAAGGACAGGGACCAGGCACGAGTGATCTGGTGGTGGTGGGGAGCAGTGGGAGGGGGAGTGATGCTTCTCGCTGCTGAATAAGTGTTTGGGAGCTGTGGCCCCGCGCATGATCCCACAGCTGCCAGCGCTGCCCGGCCGGCCCCGGGGCGGGGTGGCACGGCCGAGGGACTACGTGCACTTCCAGCAGGCACCAGACACGTGTGGCAGTGCCCAGCCTGCTGACCCAAGGGTTGGTCCTGTGGGCAGAGCGGGAGAGACCATCCTCTGCAGAATCTCCCTGGATTCCCTGGTTTTGCTCCCTATGAACATCCTCAAAGTTGCTTCATCCTTCCCCTCCTCCAGCACCACTCAGACCCGAGCCCAGCTACAGGCAGGGATGGGACAGGTCCTGGGCAGAGCAGTGAGTGCTTTGCAGGCGGCTGCTGATGGAATCGTTCCCTTTCCAGCCTGTCTTGGCTCTGCCGAGGGCTGCGGTCCCTGATGTGACTCAGCAGACGAGTCCCAGACCCTGTCCGGCTCCTGCAGGCTCAGGGATTCTCAGCACATCAGCAGGCAGAGGGCTGTGCTCCCCACTCGGAGAGCTTTCTTTCCTCATTTATTTTCTTTCCTTATTTTCTTTCCTTATTTTCTCTCCCTCCTGTTTGCTTAGCACGCAATGTGCCAGCCTGGCTCGGATCGCCCGCAGCCATTAACCAGACCGAAATGCTGATGGATGAAGCCGCCCAGGGAGAGCAGGCTCGGTGTGTTAATGATGGGCTGGAGCCACACATCCAGCTGCCTCCTCCTTCCCTGCTCTCTGCCTGTGCAAACTGGGATCTGCTGGGGCAGCTGCGTGTGTCAGCCTCCCTCCTGCTTCCACCTCCTGCACGGCTGAAGCTTCCCTGGCCCTCTCTGCAGTGACCAGGTCATTGCAGCATTGTGCTCAGGGCTACAAAATGAACCAGTGGCAGAGCAAGGGAAAGAGCCCAGGAGTCCTTGTTTCCCTTAACTGCTGGTAGTGGTTCCCCTTGTCTCTGCTTGCTCCCATCACTGAAAAAAAAATTTAATTAGTCTGTCATTGTCTGCTCTCATCCCCATCCCCAGCTCGTTAATGGATGAGGCAGTGCTGTCAAAGCAATCCCCTAATGAAAAGCTGCTGGGTGGGAACGGCAGCGTCGCTGGGGCTGTGGAGCGTGGTTCTTGTGAGAAACAGTCAGAAACTTCAACTCTCTAATGAGCCATTCTGTCCTGGAGTGGCAGGTGGCAGGGACCAGGCAGGGGTTTCAGTGTTGGAGCAGAGCCACTGCTGGGATGCCATCCTGCCCAAAATGTTCTGGAGATGGAGAGTGGGCAGTGCCAGGGCACAGCAGCCTGGCTGCTTTGCCAAGGGTTAATTGCAGCTGAGGGCTTCAAAGGGAGCAGGGGAGAATGGGTGACAGTGGGGAGAGGGGGCACACAAACCCTGTGTGAGCAGGACAGCCTGCAGGGCTGACACCTGGATAGCACAAAGGTGTCATCTGTCTCTTCTGCCAAGCTCCTGGTGCATTTTCCCTGTGCTCCCCACCCCAATCTCTTCCTCCCTGGGGGCTCCCGGTGCCTCTGGACATACCAGGCAGCACAAACCACCCAGCTCCCACCAGGAGCCCTCTTTAAAAAGTCATAATTTCTCCCTCTAATACCTCCTGCCTGCCCTCCCTGTGCTGGAGGGGAGAGGGTGTCTAATTAAGTCTGGCTGTAATTGGCAGCTGTTCAGGCTGTGTCTGCACTGCCAGCAGGCTGGAACAGGAGCTCCAGTGTGTCCCACAGTGCACTGGGGAGGGATGTGGTGATGTGCTACCCCCGTCACAGCCTTGGCAGCAGCACTGCCAGGGAATGCAGGGCTCCCCACCCAGATCCCTGACTCCTCGGATGTGCCCAGCTTTCATGCAGAGCAGCCTGTGCCAGGGACAAATGCATCATCTCTTGCAGTGGCTGCAAACTGGGAAGTGAGACAGGCTGTGTGTCACCCCCAGGGAACCTGTGCACGTGTCCAGCCTGCCCTGAACCCCAGCCACAGGGCCGGTGCTGGGACGTGGTGTGGGGCACTGGGGTCTGCGCTGTGCTCCCTGCCCAGGCCCCTGTGGGCTGGGAAAAGCCCTGGGAGCTGTGCCAGAGCCAGGGCACTGCTGCAGCACAGGCCACGGGGACTCTTTGCCTCCTGAGGTGCCCACTCGTGTGAAGGGCTGCCAGGTGAGGGCCAGCTCTGCCTGCCACTGCTCCCAAGGATGCCATCCAGCTCACCTGGGCAGCAAGGGACGTCCTGGTGTGTGGTGTTTGCTTTCCAGAGTCTGTAGCATAAAGGGAATGTGATCCTGGGAGAGCCACACTGGAATGTGATGGTGCCTGCAGGGGTGGGTGCTGCTGAGCTGGGCTCCTCACCCTGCTGTGGGACACACCAGTGTCTCCTCACCAACCCTGGCACTGCCTGATTCCCATTAAGGGCTGGATGGTCCTGGAGCTTCAGAAATGCTCTGGCCACTCTGTGACTTGTCCTTGCCCGTAGCAGTGAGAGGGGAAGTGGCAGGAGCAGATGCTCCCACAATTTGGTGGGCTCAGACCTGCAAAATGCCATCTCCACATGAGGGACATCCTCTCCAGGCACCCCAGAGCTGGCAGGATCATCACCAGGGCTGGAAAACTGCTCTTGTTCTGCAGCTGCTTCTCTGGCCAGCGGGAGGATGGAGAGCCCCAGTGGTGGCTGAAGGGGAGCTGCTGACAGAGCAGCTGCTCTGCTCTGCTAAACTCTGCCCAACGTTATTATTATTATTGAGTCTTTTTTTAAAGGCTTCTTCCTTCCCCTTTTCTCCTGGCTTTTCTCTTTCTGGCTGGCTCTCTCCTGTCTGCTTTCTTTCCCTCTTGCAGTGTCTTGCATCAGGCTTGGAGCACAAAGTGCAGCCATAAATGGCAACACACAGGGCCCAGGAGTTTAATCCGAGATAATTTTCTCCTCTTGCTTTGCAGCCTGGGATCTTCCCTTTTCCTGAAGCTGGAGCAGGGCACTTATTTGTCCCCAACCTGCCCATAAGTGCCAGGGCTGCCCCTGAGGAAAGGGTGAGGGACACACCACCCCCAAAGTTTCCTCTAGTCCTTTCTGAGAAAGAAGCCCATTGCTCAGAGAGGTTTGCACTGGGGGTGGAGGAAGTGGGGAGGAAATGGCCAGAAATGAGCTGAAAACCAGATGATGCTGCAGTGGGAAGCCTGGGCTCCCATCTCCCATAGGCTGGGAGAGGGCTCAGTGCTGGCAGAGCCTTCAGGAGGCATTTCGGGGTCACAATGCCAGGCTCCTCTATCTGAGCCATCCTCCCCTGGGACATTCAGGGTTGTCCACGGTCAGTGTCCCAAAATGTCCCTGAAGCCTTGTTCACGCTCTGCTTTGGTCCAAAGCCCGCTGCCAGAGTCAGCTTCACGCGTGGGTATCGCGGAGCTGAAGGGCAGCAGCAGCAGGTTTGTGATGATCCAACAAACGCTTCGGCTCTGCAGCCAGAAGGCAGATGGATCTCTGCCTTGTTATTTAAGGTGGATGACTCGCTGGATTTTAACCCCAGCCTTTCCGGAGCCCCGGGCGAGCTGTGCCCAGGTACGATTCGGATGGATGAATGGATGTGCCGGCGGGCAGGGAGCGCTCCCAGCCCCGCACGGCCCCGGGGCCCGGCAGCTGCCGCCCAACGCGTCCCCTCGGCTCGGCAATGAGAGCTTTGTTTGCCGCAGCAGCTGGTCGGAGCGGCCCGTGTCAAGTCTCCTCCAGATGCTCCCGGATAATGACGTGCACAGCTCCCCGCAGTGCTGCTTCTCGCCTTGTTTTTATTCCTGCGGGGAGGTTTTCCTGCCCGGTGTGCACCGGAGAGATGCTGATTTGGGCTGTTGGACGGAGCACCCAGGTCCTTTCTTCTCCAGTTGTTCCCTCCTCACTCCCAGCTGCTCGAAACTCTCCCTGTATTCTCCCCGGGCTGTGCTTCCTACAGAAGTGCCTGGGGTGCCACCGTGTCCTCTTTGGTGTCCAAGTCTGTCAGTGTTGTCCCAACACCTTCCCCCTCCCAGATGCCGGGACAGCAGCACCCACTGGCCATGGCAGGGCTGAGAGCTCTGAAATTCGGGGCTCTCCTCCTCTCTGGCTCACAGGGGCTCTAGGCACAGCCAGGCTCGAGGTGAGGCTTTGTCCCTGCTGGCATTTCCAGCCAGCCCAGAGGCTGCTCCCAGCCCGACGCTGGTATTTCCCTGCAAGGCCAAGAAACACGGTGTCCCTGCTCCCTGCCCACGCACATCCTCCTCCACAGCCCTCCAGGCACCGCAGGAAAACCTTGATCTGTGAAGGTTTTGGACAGGGAAAGCTGGCTGTGCACGGGGCTTGAGGCCATCCACAGCTGCTGTGGGGGTGAGAGGGCTGGGAAGCCCCAGGATTGCAGGATGGGATGGGGAGGTTTCCAGGGGGTGTTTTCCTGTGAAGGAGAAGGCAGCTGGCAGAGCATTAACAAACCGAGCATGTCCTCTCCCTTCCTGCTCCTCCTGTATGCTCATCAGCACCCCGGGAATCTGCCTGGACCCCGCCAGGACACCCAGGCAGCCCAGCCTGGCGCTGGCACAGCCAGTCCCCCTCGCTGGTGGCTCCTTGCACCGCTCCCATCCCACGGGCTGGGGCTGCCACAGAGAGCTCCAAAGCCTGGCTGCGGGGCTGGGCACTGCAGCTCTCTGCTCCTCGCTCCAGCAGCCGTGTCACAGCCGGGCACACGGGTCAGGGCAGCACAGGCTCGGGCACGGGGCAAGGTGGGCTACTGGCCACACTCAGGATTTGTCTATGTGTGCTGAAGCTGCCAGGGCCGGTTGGTTGAGCACAGGGGTGTTTGTGCTCAGAGATTTTGCCCTTTTCCAGATACCACCGTTGGGTGCCTCTCCTGGATCCGGCCTCGGGCACACAGGACAAGCAGAGGACACGAGGGGTCACGCAGCACTTTCCAGCCATGCAGAGGTGTGTGGGAAGGAGGGCCAGCCTGGGGAGGGTGGCACGGCTCACAGTGTGCCAGTGTCCCTGTGTGGGTGGGACATTGTCCCAGGTGGCAGTGACCGTGGGAAGGAGGGCAAAGCTTGCCTGCTGTTCTCCCCTGGTGGCGTTGGGTGGCCTCTTAATAACTCAGCCCATGTAAAACAGAAAGAAATGGTGTTCCAGGCGCAGGTTTGCTTCTTGGAGGTGGAGGGAGTGATGCCCTGGGGATGGGGGTCAATGAGGCCTTCTGAGGTTTCTGGCTGCGGGAGGGAGCAGCCCCAGGAAGGCAGAGGGACAGGGATGTGGAGTCCGGGGCCACAGCCTGGGGGAAGGGAGGTGCTGGCATCTGCCTCCAAGCCATCCAAGCAGAAAAGTGTTGTGCTGTAGGGAGCTCCTGGCTGCCACGAGCAGGGGTCCCAGACAGCCCCAGCACGATGCTCTTGCCTGCCAGCCTGACATCCCTGCCTGTTCCCCCTCTGCTCCTGTCAAGTGTCTCTTCCTCTGTGTTGGAGCAGATCTATTTTCCCTCCTTGGAGGTTTGCCACCCAAATTTCTTGCTTGCTCTCGTTATTAAATGCTCAGTTCTTAATGCCCAGGCAAGGAAGAGGTTAAAATCTCCCTCCTTGTGTCTTCTCCTGGAGGGTTGGGTCTCCCAGGGGATGTCTCAGCTCCCAGGGAGAGGTGGATGTGATGGGGAACTGCTGCCCTGGGCTTGGGGCTGAGTCACCAGAGCTGAATGTCCCCTCCCTGAGGCCACTCCTTTGGGTGCCTCCCCAGCCACCCTCATGGGAAGTCTGGGTGTCCAGTGGGAAGTGCCCATGTTTGGAAGCGTGGCCCAAAATAGCTGTGGCTGCAGCAGGCAGGGGTCCCAGTGGCATCTCCTTCTGGGGAACATAGTGGCCAGAGGAAGCCAAGGGGCTGTGAATAATGCACATTCCTCCCCGATGACAAACTCACCCAGTTCTGGGCTGGGGCTGTGCTCCCGCAGCTCCTCCAAAGCTCTGCACTGCAAAGCCAGCACTCGACTCTGTGAATGATCCTTCTTGGGTCAGCATCATTCCCCTTGGGTCTGCTTCACCCCAGCTTTTCCTACGTGTCCCCTGATAATGAGGGGCTTGGCAGCCTCCCTCCATGCTCCTCCCCTCCCTGCCCAGGTGCTTTGCTTCTTTTGCCAGCCCATGGGGTGCACGAGGCCAGGAGGCTGCAGGAGGACATCCCAGGTGCTGGTGACCCTTGGGCTCAGTGCTCGCCTCTCTCCCTGCTTGGAGTTTCTGCACAGGACAAGGAATCTGGGCTTTACGAAGTTTGTTGTATCTTGTAGAAGGGAAGCCCTCTCACTGGAGCTCCAGGCTCTGCATCCCAGCCTTGCCCCAACCAAACGTGGGTTATTCAGCACAGCACCTTCCCCTCACGGCTGTTCTGTTTTTAACTCCTCCAGGAGGAAGAGGTGGACTCAGAAAACGAGAAGCTGGTGGTGAGAGAGCCGGGGGATGAGGATGGTGAGTGCCAAGCAAGCCAGAACTTTGCAGGGAGATTATGGACAGGTCTGGAGCCCTGAGTGCTTGGGGGTGGTCTCCTTCCTCCAGGAAATTCCTATCCCTTCCCCAGATGCCCTTGGGCTGTTTGCCATGGGGTAGCTTTGTGATGCAGCTGCTCCAAAAGCTCCTTGCTGGAATCCAGGACAATCTCCAGGGGCTTTAGTCAGAGCCACGTTTAACTGTTTAGCCAATTAGTTGATTGGAAAATGATTCATTGACTAATTGGGGTGACAACTGCTGCACTCCTAAGAAAATGAAACAGATGGTCTGAAGGGGACCCTGCTCTCCTGGGCAGCCCTGGAGATGCTGGGATGTCCCCAAGAGTCCTGGCTTGGGGTGGCTGGGGACAGCTGGGGCACCAGGAGGCCTTGGGGTGTTCTCCCTTCCCTGCCCCACTTTCTGCCTGGCTGTTTGAAGGTGCTGTGTGGCAATCCCCCGGCTCAGGAGGATTATGCCTAATGCCACAGAGAATCAAATTTTAATCCTGGTGCCATTCCTGCAAGGCGGGGGAAGCGCCGCTGGAGACGGGCCTCCCAAAGTACACTCGTTCCACCCCGCTAGGCTTCCTCGCAGCGCTGGTGGCCGGGGATGTCACCATGGGGGGCTGTGGGAGGCCTGGTTTGAGGACTGATAGGTGTATCCTGCCAAATGGATGCTCAGCAGCTCTGCTCTGTGTCTGCTGCTGAGGGTTCAGCTCTGTTTCAGGGCACTGCAGGGCATTGTTCCAAAGTGGCTGCAGTTTGGGATTGGGAGAAGGTGATGGCCCCAGGCTGTGGCCTGGCCAGCACTGTGTCCTCCTGCAGGCAGCTCCTGCCTCCTCTCCCGAATTGTTCACACCATTTCAGAAGTATTACTTTCTGAAAGTAGTATTCACACGTATCCTGAAGTATTCAGTATTTTATAACAGGGCTGGGCAAGGCGATGGCCCAGGCTGAGGAGGAGACAGCGAGATGCAGCTGGGAATACCAGCAGTGCCCTGCGATCAGCCCTGCTCTTTCCTTCACCATCTCCTGCGTGTCCTGGCCCCACTCAACCCACAAGCAGGGATTCCCCTGGGGCATGTGGGGATCCTGCAGGCATCTATCACCGGCCTGGGATGCTGCCCTGAGCCAAACCCACCGGAGCAGCCTTCCCTCCACTTCAGGAAGGGAGCTGGCAGGGATAACGTGGATCACACCAGAGCAAGCATGTTCAGGGGAGAGGTGCTGTCTTGGGGCTGCTCTCACCCTGCCAGCTCAGGGTCACAGCACTGGCAATGAGAGGGCAGAGAGATGAAAGACAAATGTTTTCTTTAATATGAACTCATGGAGGCTCTCGGTAAGTAGGTCACCTCCTGTTCCTCTAGCGTTTTCCCTGTCTACGTGAAAACCCAGCCTCCCCTTCTCTGTGTGCTTCCTGAAGTTTGTTTTCAATCTGCAAAGAAAGTTCCTGAGCTCAGAAAACAGCCAGAGGTTTCCAAAGCCACACGCTGTCTCCTTTTTTTACTCACACCATGTGGGCAGGGAGATGGAGACCTTCCTTGTCTCCCTCCTCCCTTATCATTTTCTGGTGAAGTGGCAACTGAACTGCTCTTTTTGGGACAGTGTAAATCCCACATCTCACTTCATCTGGCAGAAAACCACGTGAGGGAAACAATTGTCCTTGAAATCAGTCGAGCTTTACAAAGGTAATGAACAGCTCCTGCTCTGCACCAGCATAAGTAACAGGATGTTACACCCTCTTTTAATTTTTTTTTCTTTCTCCTAATATCTCCCAAAGCAGCAGCCAGCTGAATTTTCTTTCCATGCACTTTATGGTCACCCAAAGTGCTGATAAGCTGCAGCATTGCTGCATGTTTCCAGCTGGCCAGGTTTGTTTGTTTGATTGTTTGCCCATGGGGAGGGCTTCCCACTGAGGGAAGTGGAATATGACCAAGCTGAATGTTTGGGGCTGCAGACCAGAGCTTTGGGCTGCTTGTCTTCAGACATTTGTGACAAAGCTGGATAAAGAGTTTCCATCCCCTGGGAGCCCTGATGGCATTCAGGGATTAGAGAAACACTCCAGATCAGTAATTGAGTAGTAACCCACCAGGACTTCCCAGGGAAGCTCCCCAAGATCAGGAACCTGGAGATGTAAAGAAGTGGGGATTGAGTGGGCATTAGCAGGGAGGAAGTCTCTGTGAAACTCTGTGAATTCCCATCCCACTCCCGTTGCTCCAGGCACAGTCACTGCAGTGAAGCCTTGCATTGCTTGTTTCTGAGATCTCTGGTTTCCCCACCTACAAAATCAGGCTCTGACTTACCTTTCATAAGGAGGTCCCTGAGATCTGGCAGCAGCTGAATGTGGGCACAAGCTTGGGGTTGGAGAAATCCCAAAATCAAGGTATTAAACACAAGGAGAAAAATCCTTAAGGACTGTATTGATTGGAAAATAGAGGGAAGCTGATGCTGATTCCTACGTGTGAGGAAGGGAGGGGAGGGGCTGTGAGGGGTTTTTCATTTGGGCAGGTGGAGGAGGAGAGACAGTCATGAATATCACCCCAGTACCAGTAGAGAGTATGGGAAGGGCCTTCCTGTATTGCTGGGGACAGAGGATGCATCCATGTGTTATGTCCAACTTTGGGCTTTCTCTCCTGCCAGGGGAGTTTCACCTCTCTGGGGTGCTGCTGGTGCTGCTTGGTGTCATCCTGGATATTGGTTTGTGGATAATATGCAATTTTTCAGGGCCATGCAGATAACGAAGTAACATCTTCCTTTTGCACCCCTTGGAAGCATCCCCAGGGCTCTGAGGGTCGGGGGAAGCAGCAGATGTTTCTGGGAATGTGGAAACCGCAGTGCTGGATGGTTGGATGTGAAGCAGCCAAGTCCTGCGGTCCTTGGGAGATAAAGGCTCTCAGATAAGCAGCCCACAGATAACCCACAAAGGCGACTCCTGGGCTGTCTTTTGGATTGACCTCCCCTCCTGTTGTTTTCTCCCATCTGTAGGAAGATAAAGCACGGGAGAGGTTTTTAAAAGCAAATAGTACTCGAACAAAATCCGATTGGAAAAGGATTGGCTTTGGCTCAGAGTCTGAGCTTTGGTGCTCTAATTAGCACAGGGCTGAGGCTGGTGAGCCGGGTGGGAGAGTACCCAGGAGAAGGGGACCCCGGTTCCCTCCTCAGGGCTGGTGACAGAGGGTCTTGGACCCGGCTGTGTTGGTGCTCCTGGGGCTGCCTTGGCTCAGTGCTGTTTGCAGCCTTGGGATTTGCCATGTGGCATCTTCTCTTTACAAGCTTTCTCAAGGGCTGCAGGAGATCTGCAGGCCTGTGTGGCCTGGGACAGCTCTGCTTGTAGCACCATCCATGAGCCCCAAGCTTGGGAAAGGGCCCCTGGATGAGGGGAGGGAGGGAGAAGTAATGCAAGTCTGGAGAGGAGAAGCGGAAAATGCTGCGAGTTAATCATGGCAGGATTAGCATGTCTTGATAAGCCAAGATGGGCCTGCAAGGCTTTGAATCCAGGGAGAACAATGGCATATGGTTCCTGTGCTGTAGGATTTACTTGGATCTGATTCCAGCAGGCTGCTCACTCACAGCAGTCCTCGCTGTTTGCAGTGCTGCCGGGCTCCTGCCATCCTCTGGCCAGCAGCACCTTGGCTCTGCTCTGGGATCCACACTGCCTCCCTGACAGTGCCCAGGCTTTCTGGAGACTGGAGCTGACTCAGGGGATGTGCCAGAGCATTTAGGATGCAGGAGCAGAGGACAGAGAGCACCCACAGGGAACAATCCTGCTGCTGTCGGTTGTGGCCCTCAGGAGGTCTCTGGTTCACAGATCTCTTGCTCTCTTTTTATCTTCCCTCTCCAGCTGCAGATGAGACGTTTTCTTTTAAATACAGTCCTGGAAAGCTAAGAGGAAACCAGTACAAGTCAATGATGTCCAAAGAAGAACTAGAGGAAGAACAAAGGTAAGTTTAGCTTCCTTTTTCTTCTTGCCCAAGCCCACCTGGCTGACATGCCCTCGGAGCAAGCTGGGTGTGCTCAGACCTCTCTCTCTCCCACTGCCCTCAGCATCTCATTGCTCTGGAGTTCCAGGCCTCCTGGATATGAGAACAAATAAAGTCATACTGCTTTAGGAGATGGAGGCACTGCAGCCCTAAATACCTTTGGAGCTCCTCTGGATGCTTAGACCAAATTTTCCAGCTGATGCAGCTGGTGTATTTGCCCTGATCCCATTAGTTCTGTGCTGATAGGTATCTACTGAGGACCTGATCTTTGGTTACTTCCCCTCCCTGGGCCCTGTGGATGGTGTCCCAACCAAAGACATGGGCATAGCTCAGAACCACTGGGGCAAAGTGAGGGAGGACAAGGTTCTAGAGTTCACTGAATGGGGCTGACACTGGAACTGTCCATCCCCAGGGCTGTCTCCTCAGCTGGATGTGGTGGGGATTTACCAAGTAGTGGGCCTGGTAGAGAAGGAAAATTGTCCATCTTGCACTTTTTGCTGAAGTATCCCCCTGAGCCCTGCATGAAGAAAGGTCGAACCTGTCCTGTCACTTAAAACAAGCTTTCTGACTCGAGATTCCCCAGCCCATACAAGGAATAACCCCACAGCTGAGGGCTCTGCAGCAGGCTGCTCCCTTACAGCTGTCTGCAGCTCAAACCCTTTCCCTGAGTGTGAGCTCCAAGGAACTGATTTCCCAGTGGTGGCTCAACAAGCCTTGGGAGATGGTGTTCTCTCCTCTGCTGTTCCAAGGGACCCAATTCTCCACCCAGAGGTTTGCAGAGTGATGTAGGGGTATTTGTCACCCCTTGCCTGTCAAATTGTGTTCTAAGTACCACCACAGCTGGCCTGGTGTAAAGAACCAAGCAGAAAATTGAGTGCAGCACGGAAGGCAGGGATGGGGGATCACACCTTGCCCCTGGCTCAGGCATCTCCTGCTGGCAAACCTTGCCTTGAGGCTCTTGGGCAGTATCTTTGTGATGCCACCAGCTGGGCTGCCTGAGGTGTGTGTGAGGTGAGCAGGGCACTGTGGTAGGCAGAGTAAATCCAGAGACCTGCCCTGTGCTGGGGTCAGCAACAGAAATGAGCTCTGGCTTCCTCTGGCATGGGGTTGATTCTGCATTGGTGGCATCAGGAAAAAATGTTTGCTTTCTTCTTTTCCATGTATCTTTCTTGTGCCTGAAGCCCCCACCCTGTAAACTGCTGAGCAGGGCTGTGAGTGTCACTGTACTTTTCACTTGGGGAGGGTGGTGGGGGGATGAACTGAGTGAATGTCAGGGACACCCATGGGGCTAGATGGGATTTGCTTTTCAGGATCCTGCTAAACACAAATGCAAAAATCCACCTGCAGCTGGCAAATTCAAACCCTTTGACCAGAAGCTCCATCCAAACTAGCTGAGCAATCACTGCTCAGGTTTTCAGGGCCAGGAGTCCTGCAGGGCCTTGGGCTGGTTTTTGTGGGGCAGAAAATGCTCTTGTTGTCAGCTGGGGACACTGAGGGGACATTGGCTAAGGACAGCAGTGGGATGGAGGGTTTGTACTCATGACTGTAGAACAGACTCTGGAGGGGGGATGGACCTGTCCTGGACACATGGCACTGCTCAGCCACCACTGCTCTTGTCTGTCTGGAGCAGTCCCAGGGCAGGACGGTGCACCTAGAACTGATGCACAGTGCCTGGGCTTTGTGTTCCTTGGAGGCTCTCGGCAGCCTCCCCCACTGAGGGCCACTGGCAGATGTGTTTTTCCTACTGCTCCTTTATTTTCTTCTCTTCCGTATTTGTGTTGTTCATTTCTTTAAGGCAGCTTTGTGAATTTTTTTTTGTCTTGCTTTGTTGCTGGCTTACTTTTCCCCCCCTCAAATCTTCACTGCGGCATCAGCAGCTTTTCATTGCAGGCCTCGCAGGTGGTGCAAGGGGGCAGGGCTGCTGCCAGGTAAGCTGGGAGAGCTGAGCACAGCAGCTCAGCCTTGTCCTGCATCCTTCTCCTTGCCCTTCCACCCCTCTTCCCCTCTCCATGAGCCCTGACCGTGCTGCTGACCTGCTGTGACCCGGGTTTGCCACCTTTATGTTGCAGGATTGAGCTGACCTCTGATCTCACATCTCTGTAGCAAGTACCTTAGGTCCTCGGCCACAAACATTCTTACAAATCTTTTTGGTAAGGACACGCTGCTGCTTAGAGGTAGTGGTACCACTGACAACATCTGCTCATGTCTTGGGTTATTTTGCTTTTTGGGTTATTTTCCAGGGGAGGGGTTGTTTTGAGCTGCAGTTGGTTGCCTGTGCCACCTCCCTCTCCACCTCCCTCCCCTTCCCTCCTCATAACAGATTAATGAGTCCACTCCCCTCTGCCTCCATCTCACTTTCCATGAGCACTCCAGGGCTCTCATGTTTGGATGCTCACATTTTTCATCTTGGATGCCTGAAGCTGGACATCCCACAGACACTTCTTTGTACAGATTTGGGAAATTGCTGCAGAGTGGGTGGTTGGTCTAAGGTGTGCTATCAAAACTGAGACAGGTTTAGTGTTTGCTTTTAGCCCTGTCACTCCTCCAGCCTTCTCATGGACCAGCAGGCTCCCATGTGAAGCAGCTGGTAAGCAACATCCCAGAAATGAAAGTTTTTCCTCAGAGGCTACTTGTGTAGTTCACAAGTTTGAATTTTGGGACTCCTTGTTTTTGGAGATGCCATTGAGAATATTCTTTGCCTCTTCCAGGAGGAGCTGTAGGACTTCAGGCAGGAGAGTACAAACATGTAATAGATTAGGTTATTTTAGCAAAATACCCATTTCTGTTCTAATCTGCATCCCTGCAGAGTCTGTGGTTGTCCTGCCTACAATTCACTTGAGCCTTGTGGCTTCCAGCTGGTGCTAAATCTGGACTAAAAGGGGAAGGAATGTGACCTTCACTGAGTGATGCAACTTCCTGCTTCTGGTGACTTCAGCCTTAAAAATTAGAGTGCTCACCGAGGGAGGAGGACAGTAAATCCTGTTGACAAATACATCTGCTGGGGTGGTGGCTGTGCTTGATCACACCTGGTGGGTCACCAGTCCTTCTGGAACAGAAGCACAGAGCCTTTGCCCCGCTGTGGGAGAAAAACAGTCTGGGCAGGAAGGGGAAGAGTGCAGGGGAAGGATGCAGCTCTTGGTCCAGCCAGCACAGCTTATTCCCAAATCCTTTTCTTCTGCACCTGAGGCTTTTGGCCATCTGTTGCCAGTTGTAGCTGCTATGGTGCAAAGCTGGAGCTCAGGAAATGTGAGTTGTGGTGGTGCAGCTGCCTCTGCTCAGTCAGGGCTGAGAGGGGCTGCTGGTCTGTCTGGGCAGCTCCTGTGGAGGAGGGAGGAAGAGCTCCCCAGTGTGCCTGCACTCATGGATGGCTTGGAGTTGTCTCTGCCAGATGTTCTTCAAACATCCCTTAAGGCTGAAAGAGGTTAGTGGGGATTTTTTCTGTTAGAAATGAGTATGGTTGGGTCTCTGCTGAGTGTTGACAGCTGCAGCAAGGCTCCACTCCTAAAACAATAGGAGAAATGGCCCCCTTGGGTCTCTGCTTTCAGTTCTCTCTTTCCATTAGGCAAAACAGGTCCCAGCCAAGCCTTGGTTGGCCTCAGTGCTGTCAAGGGATTGAGCTGTCCGTGCTCTCTCCTTGTCACTTGGCTAGGAGTGTTGGTGGGAGAAAGGAGAGCAGATCCCATCTGACAGGCTCGAGAAAGGTCTCTGCTCTCTGTCCTCTGTCTGGGATTGAGGAAGAGGTGGGGGTGAAGAGCCAGAAGCTGCCCCATGGCAGACCCATTGATGAATGGCACCAAACTGGTCTTGGCAGGGGCACCTCCTGGATGGGGTGGCAGGAAATCTCCCAGACCACTGTCAGCCTCTGGAAGAGTGCAGGGAAGACAGGGATAGCTGCCCAGTTTCCCTGGCTAATGGTCTCCGTCGCCACAGCCAGGTGACCCATGCAAGGAGCAAACTCCTCTCCTGCCTCTCAATCCTCTCCTCTCACCTGGCCAGCCACGGATGGGTTGAGGTTGACAGTGTTTGAATGCAGATTGGGTTTAGGCCTAGGGCTCAACTGCAAATTGGAATTCACACAAGGGGAATTGGGTGGCTGGAAATACCAAGCTCAGCCCTTTTCTTAGTGGTAATTTAGCAATAGAAACATGTCTCCTCCCCAGCTGGGTTCAGAGTGCCTCTTGGTTATGGGGCACTGCAAAAAACTGGGCTTGGACCCTGGAATTTCAGCAAGGCAGGGTAAACCCTGGTTATAAGGAATGTCAGAGAGGAGAGATTTTTTTCCCTGCTCTACAAGGCATCCTGAATGAAAGTAGGATGCAGCTATGACTTGAGGGACAACTGTGCTGAAGTTTGAATTTTGAATGAGACAGTGCTGGTGATGACAGCTCTGGAGCACACAAGGGCAGGAAGCAGCTGCAGAGGTTTAATGACTGTGTTGACAGACCTATTTCAAACATCTCCACTAGTAGCCCTCCAAAAATAGGTGGGTGGACAGGGCTAGGGGAGGTTGCATTTTGGGAGAGCTGTCCATTGGCATCTGTCCCTGTCCACCCCCTGCATTGCCATCACATAACCCTGGCTTGCCTGGTCACTCCCCTCTCCATACAGCATGGAACTGGGCCTCTGCCTCCTCCTCCTCTCTTCTGCTAACCCTCCCCCCACCCAATGGCTTTGCTGTCCTGTCCAGTCCTGTCCTGTCCTAGCATGGTGCTTCTTTTGGATGAGGGAAGCTGGTAAGTTTGGGCTTTTGGGGGGCAGAGGTTATTATTTGTTTGCTTCTCATCTTCTGCAGCACGATAGTCGTCCTGGGCTGAGGGAGGAGGAGTAGCAGCGAGGGGTGCAGAGCCCAGGGCCGTGGCTCTCTGCAGGGCAGGGTGGCCACTGCTTTACTGCAGCCACCAGCCACGGGGATGGCACCAGCCATGGGCAAGGCTGCTTTCAGCTGCCAAACACCCAGGGCATGAGATGTGTTTGCTTCCCACCTGCCTCTTGTAGTAAAGGACACTGTATGTTTGGGGATCTCTGCTGAGCTCCCCCTCGTGCTCACTCTGTAGGTGCCCAACTCCACCTGGATGAGAAGGAAGTCTGCTGCTGGCCTGGTGCTGTTCCCTGCCTCCATATCCCCGGGGAAAATGTCTTCTGACCTATAAGATGTCAGTGGACTGGAGCCCTGGCCCTATTTATAGTCATGATTGAGTCATCAATCCCCAAAAGCTTTAAAAACAGAGTTACTCAGGATGCCTCCCTCAGAAAGCCAGGGAAGGGGAGGCCAGGAAGCCCCTTCCCATCTCCTCTCCCATCCCAGAGGGGAAACCTTTGCAAACTCCCCTGCAGCCTTTGCAGGGTGTGAGTCACTGACCTTGCCTTGAGATTTTAGTTCAGACAGAAACTCTGCTTGAGCTCCTGGGTTGTTTTTTTTTGGCTCAGGTCCTGAATTGTCCTGGCTTGTGGCTGCTTCTCCGTGTCACCCTCACCCAGCGCTCATGATTTGTCTTCATCTGCTTCTGCTTAACCTTGTGCAGCATGGGCAGCTGGCTGTTCTCTGCCTGCTAACTCCCTGGGAGCCCTGCTCTGCCTGTCCTGGGCTCCCCTGCAGCTGGGCGAGACCCAGAGATGCAGGGAACTGGGGCATCTCGCCAGGCTGAGAGCAAACTGGTGTTCAGCAAGCTGGGGAACAAACATTGAGTGATGGAGGAAAGCACAGCCCGGCCTGTCCGTGGCTTTTCCCACTGCTGTGGTATTGGCTGGGGTGGTCAGGAGTGTTGCAAGGGAATGGGCACACGACTGATGGATGGCCAGGAGCCCAAGCCATCTTCCTGCCTGTGCTCTGGCCTTTTCAGCTGTTGCTGCACTGGCTGGGAAATGTGGGAAGCTTCTGCCTCAAAACAGTTGTGGGCAAGGTCTGATGGGGGTGATACAGCCCCTGACCCCACTGACTCCTCACCAGCCCCTGTCCTAAAGCCAATGAGATTTGTGCTCCCTGGTCACACTGGTTCTGGCAGCCTCGAGGCACATTAGGTATTTCCCAAAACCCAGTCCATCTTTCGGATTCTCTATCCCAGTGGGGAAAATTCAGATTTGTGTTGATGAAGCTCCTTTTCATACCTCTCACTCAATTCCTTTTCTCTTTTCTAAGCATTGTCTCCCTGTTCTGTATTTAAGTCCTCTCTGTGTTTTGTTGATTGGCTGAAGCAACTGGCTCACAATTTTGGGACCACCAGGAAAGCTTGGATTTAGTGTGTCATTCCTCATATTCTTCCTGCAATACCTCAAGACTGCACTATAGTCACCACCAGAAATGAGATGGTAGCTGCCCCCATGGTAAAGAAACAGGGACACTGTGATGGGACCATCCCCAGCAGTGAGATGGGAGATGGGAGGGAACTTCCTGGGGAGATTTCGACCACCTATTGCCAGGTCTGCCCAGCACTAAGGGCTTTTATTCCCTGCTCTTCATCCTCAAGGGTCAATCCTAGTTTGGAGTGAGAGGAGTCTGGAGCCAGGTTGCTGTCCACCTTCCTTGCCAGGATTTCAGAGCAGAGGACTGATGGTCCTGACAAGGTCCTGAGCCAGGGAAAGGAGCTGGGAATGCTCTGTGCTTCTGAAAAATAATCGTTTGGAGTGAAACTATTCCTGAAAAGGGCACAAGCAGTTAGCAGACATGGTTACAGTAGAATGCTCTGGGCTCTCCTTAGAGTGAGTCAGGACTCCTTTGGAAAGCTGAAGTCTATGAATGGGTTACAGATTTCCTGACCATCTGTGGATTTTTGCACACAGGACAGACAGATGCACATGGGAATGCCACCAGTAGCCTCTCTTTTTCAGAGCTGAGGTGCTGTCTTCTTGGCTGCCTTGTGTCAGTGTTGTGGGTGAGCTGGAGTGAAGGGAATGCTCCTGATGCTCCTGAGGCCACCTGAACATGCAGCTTCCATGCTTCTTTGAGACCTTCTGTCTCTGAGCTGCCCTCATATTCCAGGACTTGCTTTTGTCTGGGCTCTTTGTTCTCCAGCTTTTCCTTGCACAGAACCATGTCCAGCTGACAAATCACGTGTCTTGGCTGTTAGCTTGGGCAAGAACAGAGATACCTGGATAATCTTTATCTGAAGAAAGGATACAGCTTCTGGCAAAAGATGACCCTAACCCGGTTTGATTGATGAGCTGCTGGGGGCAAGCATGCTGATCCAAGGAGAATGGAATGGAGGGAAGAGCCAAGGATGAGCAGTGGCTCAAATCTCTGGGCCTCCATCCCAAGCTAATTAAGACTTTCAAGTTCTGTGGCTGAAATGCCAGAGCTTCTCAGCCTGGGGCAGTTATATGGGCCCAATGTCCCAGAGAGGGACTGCCTCATGCTCTTTAGTCCAATTTCTCTCACAGCTTGCTCCAGGACCAGAAAGAGGTATCCCTGATGTGCAGATGGCAATTTCTGGCTCTGAGGTACATCCTCCATTAGGGTCATGGTGGTTTTGAGATCTTCTCACCCCAGCTGTCAGCCTGGCCCTGTGGAGATGAGTATCCCTGGAGGGACTCACCCACCCTCTCTGATGTCCCCCATCCCTCCCCACTCCAACTGTGGCACGCTGGAGGGGAGCTCCCCTCCTTGGCCCCCATGGCAACGAGCTTATGCCCTCACACGTGAAATCTGATTATGCTTGTGTGACTTGAGCGGGATGATCCTCTCCTCAGCACCGTGAATCCCGCAGAGCGATTATCCACTCCGGAAAATTTCCTTTCTTTGTCCTAATGGGACAGCCACTGAGCCTTGGAACGTCGCTCCAGTAACCCTGGTCCCATGTGATGCTTCCCTTGGCATCTCCCATCCGGGATCTGGGTCACCAGCTGTGCTCAGAAGACTGCTGGAGAAGGCAAGACTTTGCAGAAGAGTGAGGAAGAAATGATGCTGTTGCTCACCCTCACGCTGTGGCTGGCAGGAGTAGGGGACTTCCAAATGTGGCTCAGGTGTTATGGACAGTGAATCTTATTGAACCCAGGAGGAATGAGGCTGGGGTGTGTCTGTAGGTGTTTGTAGGGAGGTGATGGGTGTGTAGCTTCCCTGTACCCCAGTGCAGGTCTCTGTGTCCATGGGCAGCTCTCCAGCCTTCTGTCGGGTGTTTCCTGATGTGGATGGCTCACCCATGAGATGCTGAGGCATTAAGAGAACAAGGGACCACATTTTTTAGACCCTGGCTCTGCCAACAACATGTGGAAGGAATGCCTGGATGTCCCCACACATTAAACACATCTCACCCTCCTTCCCTGGGAAGAGCTTCCCATCAAAAGGAAGTGACCTGCAGAGAGTCTGGGGATTTTACCTCCTTGTCTTCGACAGACTTACCTGTAGAAAGATTGAGAAAGGTCGAGCAGTTCAGGCACACCGCCCTGTGAAGTCAGCACTTGTTCCTGGCTTTGGGAATCAGAGATGGTCAAGGGTGCCAGCAGCCCCAGGAGGCTCTGCACAGGACAGAGAGGCAGTAACCCCTGGAGTTAATTAGCTTGGCTTCTCCAGTTCTTATTAGTAGCTCAGAAGGGTTGTAACTTAGCTTGCTGCCAGACAAGAGGATTTGCACTTCCGATTGGGTTTCGACTATCCTGCTGCAGTTGGTGAAGCAAAGTCCTTCTTAGAGGCATGAGGTTTGCAAACAGCAGCTTGTCCTGCCCTAAGGGGGAAGCTGCCTTGCCTTCCCCCCAACACACATACTGAGGGCTCTCCCTGCTCGTTTATGGGAATAATAATGAACCAACCTGAGGGGTGAAATGACTGAAATGATTTCTCTCCCTGTTTCTCTTTGCAGACCTGAAGACTATATGAAGTTGTCCCTAGCCTCCTCCTAAAGGCATCCCTTGGCATCATTAAAGGCTTGAGAGAAATACCAAAACCAACCAAACACACCCATAAGAGAAATCCATAAACCCTCAAAACTTGGGATCCCCTCTTGGTCTGAAGTTGAGTTCTACAAAAACTCCTGTCAAGTTTGAGGATATCCTGTTGTGGCTCCACGGACGGGGGCTGGGCCCAAGCAGTGACTTGAGTTGTGTTCGGGGGACTGGGAAGAACCTTCCTCCCTCTCCCCTCAACAAAACCCAAAGTGAACACTAAATATGCAACGAGTCTATTAGCTTTGTTTGCTACATGTATTAGGCCATGAAATCCATGTTGTTCCTTTCCTTGGGTGGGCAAACCATAGCTCTGCTCTCAGATCAGCTGGGACCTTTTACCAGGATCTCAAGTTGTTTTGTCCTGGGGCCAAACTCCTCTTTATTGCTGGGGGGTGGTAACTGCCCGTGATTTCCAATGTTGTACAAAGCTGCTTTACTCCGAGGGGTGGAGGGACAAAGTGGGGTCCATGTGAGGGATGGCTGGGCTGACTCAAATCTTGCTTCTGTAGTTATTTTAGCAGAGAACTGATTCTGTAGGTAGACAGGAGACTCAAGAAGTGATGAAGTTGGATAGTTTAGCTGTTCTGCTTGTGGTGGAGAGACCACGCTTTGGCTGCTGTTATTATCTGCATCCTCACTTTTCCCTACTCCAATTCCCAAAAGGAGAGACCCAATGAGGCAGCTACTGTATCAGGGGTTCCCTCTGGCTCAGGATGAGATAGTGGAGGTCCTGGGAGAGGCACACTCCCCATTCCTCTGCCTGCTTGCTGTTCCAGTGCTCTCTTCTCTTGCTGGTCTGTGGGAGCCAGAGCTCAGTGCTGCCCCTCAGCTCTGTCACACAGAGCAGATGAATTTGGCTGGGCACAAACTCGGTTTTAAATCAAACCCAGCTGGTTTTTGAGAGAGAGGAGAGGGTTTAAGTCATTTAGTGATGTAGAAACACCAGGCCGGGTGGGGATGTGTCCTCCAAAGTTTCTCTGTCACTGCCTCTTGGCTAAAACTGCAAACATATCAGGAACCCAACAGGCTGCTTTTTTTCCCCCCTTTTAATTCCTGTGCAGACAATACTTGAAACCTTGTACACAGTTGTCCTTTCCAGCGCCTCGAGTTGGCAAACTCTCATAATTGGGCTCATTTAAAGAACAGCAGGAGGCTTCAGCTTTAGAAGAGGCTGGGCTGCCCCTTCCCAGCCGACAACTGCAAGCGTGTTCAGTAGTTTGCATATGAATTTAGGCACATCTGGACCCTCTGCTTCAACATCCTGCTGGTACAGCCACTGTGTCCCCTCGGTGCTGGCTAGCTGACTGTGTCCCAAGCACCCAACTATGCAAAGAATGCCTTATATCCGTTGTGTTTAAGTTACATGGCAATATGTACATCCAGCAAAGTCGGTAGTTAAAGTCCAGATTTTTGCTAGTGGCAGCAAGTCAAACTCTTTCTTCAACTCAAATGGCTGTCTGGGTATTTTTTACTTTTGTTTGTTTTTGTTTGTTTTGTATCTGATGGTGGCTCTTATACAAAGGACTGTAATTCTAGTGGCTTGAATCTGTAAAAATTGCCTTTGTTTGGTCCAATAAACCTTTGAATAGTTTATTTGGTTTGCGCTTGTTCTCCCTACCTCCAGCAGCTTGTAACTTCCTCCTCAACAGATTTGTGTTGAAAATCTGGATCTTAGGTTACGAGGTACATTCTGCCCTCCTATGACTTTTATCCCATAAATGATTACATTCCCATAAATGGTCAGAGGGCAAATCAGGCATATTTATTCCCCTTTTTCTGCTGAAGCCATGCAGTGTTGCAGCAGGATCCTGCTCTTGTTTGTCTGCAGAGCAATTAACAACATTCCCAATGCAGAGCTCTGCCCAGGATTTCAGCTGCTGTGGACACGCTTAGCAGTGTGCTTAGCAGTCCCTAAACCCCAGATCTCTAACATACCTATGGCTCACAGCCCAAACTTCCAGATAACTGTAAAAGTCTTGGACTGAAATGTCTTAAAAGAGTCTAAGTAAGGGAGCTAAGTATGCAAATATAATTACCTATGAATAAGAATTAGGCTGCTTCAAAAATCCTTAATTAATCTATTTTGTTAGCAATGAGTAAAATCCTGTTTGACCTCCTGAAGCCTAGTAGTTTTGAGGACAGCATTTATGAGAAGAGAGAATGATTTGATTTGTGAATGGGGTGTGTTTGATCTGAACTCATCCAAAAAAATACCCAAAACCAAACCAAGCCGGAGCACTACAAGGTTGTTTTGCAAGGTCGCCTCTGATAGGAAAAGCTCCTCTTCAAAGACAGTTTCATGTTTGTGGTGCCTTACTCTTCCTTCCCAGGCTTTTTTCTCTCTTTATCTTTATTTTGCTGTCCCTTTGTAGTAGATTATGTCATGCAGAGAAGGAACAGCAGTAATAACTCTTTTTTCTATTTTCCAAATGCACAGTCATGATATTTACAGTTGAAGGGAGAGCCAAAATGCATTGATGTTGTGCTTCAAAAAAAGAAAGTGAATGTTTTCTGTGATCCTGACTTTGGAGACAAGGAAATGGGCCTTTGGAGAGGTTTCAGCAGCGCTGATGTCTGTGAAACAAGAAGTGAAGGATACAGACCTGTGTGAGCACTCCCAGCTGGGATGCACAGCAGACACAGGAGGCCAAGTGTATTGAATTTCTCCACACCAGACTGGCAATGTGCCCTCTGGTGCCCAGCGGTGATCTAAAATAAAATATTGATCACTCATGACCCTGCTTCCCTTCCTCTTGTCTGGAAAGGGCAGCTGGATGCTCTTCCTGTGAGCACAAAACACTACAGAGGACACAGACAAATCCAGGCTTCCATAACCAAAAGATCCCACATCATTATCAGGATATGTTTGGCCAGAGGAACCATTGTATTTTAATTGCAAAAGAAAAGAACTGGCACATGAGCTTGCTTTAGTCAGAATCTGCTTTTTTCCTGCCCTGTTTGCTGAGAGGACAGGCTGCTGTTCCTGCTTCTGCTGGGGCTTAGCCCAGGAGAGGGGAAAATGCAGAGCAGGAGCTCAGGAGCACAGGAAGGTCCCTCTGCTCATTCCTGACTGTCTTCCTCTGATCTTGTTCATGGTGTGGTGGCTGCTGGTGTGTTGATGCTGTCCTTTCTTTCAAGCAAAGATTGTGCCCTGGTTTTGCCTGTCAGTAGTTATTACTGCCCCTCCTGTTACTGGAACAGCTGATAGCTCATCCACACAGGCCTGCAGGAAGACTACCCCAGGTTATCCAGTGGCGTGCATTTAAATGGATTCATTAAATGGTTTAAAGTCCTGTGTGGGAAGCTGGTTGTGGCAGGAAAGAGGACTCTTGACAAGGTGACCTCGTGGGAGTAAAAGCCAGATTCTGTGTTTTTAGCCCACGGGAGGTCTAAGGGTGCTGAACAAGCAGGAAGAGCTGGAATTGTGGCAAGTCTGTGCTCTGAGCTGTCACTGAGTTCTGGCCTCACACTCATGCAGGGACAAAATGAGCCTTGAAGTAACAGGAGCTATATCTGCCTTGTTACAGCCATAAAGCAGCACATCCCCATTAGTTCTTTCCATCTCCCACAGGAGAGTCAGGAATGAGATGTGCTAGGCAATAGAGCAGCCTGATCCCAATCAGGTAGGAGTCTGGCAGTGGGAACATTCCATCCCTCAGCCAGCCTTGCCTGGAGCCATGTGCACATTCATCTTGCCCCAAAAGGGAATTTTGTAGAGTTACATCAGTTCATGCAAACAATGAACAATGGGTTTGCTGCCCACCCTCCTGTATCCCTCAGTGATGAGCAGTATAAGTCCTCCTATTAATAAAGCCCTGTCACAGATACCAATCTTCATGGGAGGTACAATGGTTAACTGGCTCAGGGTAGGGAAAAATCCAGATATCTTCTGTTAGGGGGAGAAGGGTGTTAATCATCTACTATGAGACTGCCTGGGGATTAAAAATCTGAGCTAGGTGGTCCACTGGTCAGCCTCTACCTACACAGGGACCACCTCACTGCTGGACTGACTACCTGGGTCCATCTCACCATTGGACATGGCAGACAAACTCAAATCAAAGCAAATTCCTATCCATGATTTTATCTTCCAGTGGCTGATTAAAGTCATGTCCACACTGGGAGGTAGTCTGCTCTCTAGTTTTAAGTTAGGATATGCATTTAAAATTTAATAGCTATTCCTGAATTACTCTGTATCTACATTCTATCATTACAGAAGAAAAGCACACTGTGCTGTTGAATCTTAATCCAGGTTTGTTACAGAGTCTGCTAAATTGGGATATGTTGGTGTTATAAAATTCTACATGTCAAGTTATCTTGAAAGTTTGAGCATAGATAAGCCCTAAGGAAGTCCAAAGCCAGTGTTAAAGCAGGCTGGTTTATCTCCATGTTTAGGGAGCTGCAGAGGGACGTGCAGGATGATGGGATAGATGGGAAGGGGGAGGAAGGAGAACCAGAGGCTCTCTCTGCCTTATCTCACATGGACAGATTTCCTGCAGCCAGTAAGGTTTGTACAGAGACCGGCCTTAGGCTCCATGTTTCATTTGACAGTGTATTCTTGCTCCTGGACTGGCTATTCCTACTTCTCCTTTTCTTCTTGACAGGGTTCAGAGAGAGCAGCTGGCTGCCATCTTCAGACTGATGAAGGAAAAAAGTGACACGTTTGGGGAGATGTCTGAAGGAGACATGAAGGAGCAGCTCAGACTGTATGATATATAACCCTGCAGCCAGGGGAGGCTGTGCCCAAAAGCCACCTTGGCCCTTGTTCTGCCGGACACTGGAGGCTGTAGTGCTTTAAAAGCGTCTCAGTAGTTATTTTGCAGTTCCAGTTTGTTTTACAAACACATATAGGCCTGTGTTATATATTTCAAAAGACTTGTAATTCCTCAGCCTTTTAATCAGTTTTCTTTGCAGAGCTACCATCTCATACAGTGATTTTTTACCTCTTTCTGGCTGGGTCATATGTCTCAGTCCTACAAAACAGTTAAACTCATAACTTTTTTCCTGGCTGTGCTTTATGCAAATGAACTTTCAAGCCTAGTCTTTCTCAGTTTGACATCTGAAGAAAGCCAAAGATGATAGGTGTAAAATGGATGAAAATAATAGAACAACTCAGGTTGAAGGGTCCTGTAGTCCAACCTCCTGCTAAAAGCAGCATCGGTTGCAAGACCAAGGTGGGTTACTCAGGGTTTTATCCTGTTGGGTCTTGAAAATCTCCAGAGATGGAAACTGCACAACGTCTCTTGGCAGGGAGGCTTCCAACCCTACAGCTAGAAAACAAAGAGCCAAAAGCAAGGCATCAGTGCTCTGATCAGGGGCATGCTGCCCCTCATCTCCCTGGAAGGAACACTTCATCCTCCTTCACGCTGGCTTTTGAAAATAATCCAAGCTGGTTCCAGCTGACCTCATTGAGATCATTCTCGTGCCTGAGGAAGCAGCAACAAACTCCAACCTGGAAACACAAACATCTCACCTCCTGACACTGGTGAAAGAACCACAGAAAGGCTGCTGGGTTTGTCACAAGGATGGTTAAGTCCACCTCAGATCCCACTCTTCTCATACAAAACTATGTGGGAAACTACATACTTAGGAAATCTCTGTGATTTTATCAAGTATTTTGAACAGGCTTGACCATCCCTTGGTGGTTTGAATAGAGTAAATCAATGAGCATTCCTAATTATAACTAAATGTCTTCTGGTGTGCTTATCTCTCCTATGAAATCCTGTTAAATACTTTCTTATCTGGAAGGATTTTCTTGGTTTTAGTAACTGCTCACAAAGGGAGGCAACATTTTCTGATCCATTTTAGGGAATGATCACTTAAAAAATTAGTTTTGCTTTATTTTGTGTAATCCTCTTCAGTCCGAGAAACCTTATATCTTGTTATCTGGTCACTGTCTCCCAGTACAGGGTGTTCTAGAACATCAGACACTTAGACTTTTAAGAATAATTTTATCTTCTAATTGTTTTCACTTAGGTCAAAGCATATTTATAATGAGATCAAGCTGGTTTTACATCCAATTGTGACTTAATTTAAATTTAATATCTGAAAATTAACTCTTCTTCAACACAAATGAATTAAGTGGGAAAAGTAGTCCCATGATGTGAAATACCATGCTAGCTTGCTATGTCCCTAGGACACATCTTCCTTTGTCAAAATGTTTAGAGGGAGAAATGTAGAAAATTTGTATATGCAGCTTATCCCTAGCTCAAAACTGAAACCAGGATCTTTTCCAAAACTTTTCATGAAATCAAGCAAATGAGATAAGGTGTAGTTGATTTTTGGTCCTTGCCTTGCAGACTTCACAATTTATTTCCAAAATATTTTTATATTTCCTATGTTATGGTTGGGTCTTCTCTGAATAGGAACATTTCTGGGGCAGAAAAAAAAAATCCTCAAACCCTTCAGCTTCAGAGTATGCCAACAATGGTAACACTGTACAAGGGACAGCAGCTGAAATGAAACCTGTCCTGTCCACACCAGCTCTGAGCATCGTCACCAAAATGTTCAGATGCTGCTGATAACAGGACAGTGGTGAAAAACCTGTTATTTACTAGGCTCAAATTTAAGAAAGAAATGAAGATAAATAAAAAAGCCTCTGCCCAAGACATGAAACGAAGGGGTGTCAAGATGTAAAACTCATGGATTTTGAGCGGTGCATTCCTCCATGTGCATTGGCAAGGCTGTAATGAAGAGCATCCCACTGGACACATCCCTGTGGGACCGTGGAGGTGGTGAGGAACGACCTGCAACGATGGGGTATGTCTGATTTGGCTGGGCAGCCTCTGAGGCACTTCTCCCGCTGGACTCATCAATATTTATACAGGAAATTTCACCAGCTGCTGCAGCAGTATCTCCCCTGGGTATTGTCCTCTAAATAACTGCAGAATCACAGAATCCATCACAGACTTATTTGTGTTACAGTAACCTTAGAGGTCATCTAGTTCCACCCCCACCCCAAAAGGGGATGGTGGCTGTTGCAGTGAGGGTGGCTGCAACAAACATTTTGGTCCCCTGACTGCAGGGCAGAGGGTGGCAAAAATAAATGGGAGTGGGAGCGATGGTTGGCACCAGGAAAGTAACACTTTAATAAGGAATAAAAGAAAATAGGGATGATACCCAAAAGCTGATCACAGTAACGCAGGGAACTCCATGGGGGGGGCAACCAGCCAAAGATAGGAACAAAGGAGGGTACAACAATATATAACTTTAGGGGAGGAACATTCTGGAAACAGAACCATATAAGGAACACAACTAACCAATAGAATAGAACTTTGACACCTAACATAACAACCTCAAAAGCTCCTGGGAGGAGAACTCAGGCTGTCGTGAGTTAAACAAATGTTTCCCAGGGGTTAAAACTGAGACTCTGCTTATCAGGGGTGAAATCCACCTGACCCTGTGTTTTAGTTGGGCCAACTCCCACATGTGGCACTGGGGGATCTTTGTCAGGGGCAAAGGCACTGGGGGTCCCCAGGACAGCATGGCAGCACTGGGGGTCCCTCATGAGGGGATGGTGGCACTGGGGGGGTCCCCATAACAGGATAATGGCAGTGAGGGTCCCTCATGAGGGGATGATGGTACTGGGGGTCCCCATGATGGGATAATGGCAGTGAGGGGTCCTTCGTGAGGGGATGGTGGTACTGTTGATGGCAGTACTGTTACCAAAACTGCAGGAAAAACAAAAACTCTCTAACATTATTAGAGAGTCAAGGCATTACTTGATTATCCAGCCAGGATGTTGTTGTGGCCAGGATGTACCACAGAAATCATCTCGTTCACACATAGCCCGGGTGTGCAGAGAGAATTATTCCATGACACAGGGCTTTAACTAGATTTTTCATTTCTTTTATACAGTCAAAACTCAGAAACTAATTCGGTCAGTGTTCATTGATCCCAAGTTGCTTAGTTCTTAGTATTTGATCTGCTATTGGATCTGGATATCTTCACTTAAGATGTGAATTAGATCTTCATTCCTTGATTTTCTTACCAGTGTTTCCCGTTGGAGATGTCTCCACCCGTGCCGGAGGCAGAGGCTGGGGAAGGCGTTCATAGCTGGCTGCTGATGGTCCCTGGTCTCTCGGGCTACTCCCAGTCCGTTGTTATGCTGAGTTCATCAGGCCTTACCTAGAGAAACAATGGTCTGGAAAGAAACTTAAAACTCTTTTTCCCGGGGGAAAGGCAAACAAAACCCCTTGATAAAGTTACACAAAAATTTTTAAACTGGTATTTTTTCCAACAGTACAGGGGGGGGTTCCCATGACAGGATAATAGCACTGAAGGGTCCCTGTGAGGGGACAGCGGTATTCCCCACAGCCGCGGGCCCCCGCTGCCATGGCAACAAGTGACGATCGCCATTGGACTGACATGTACCCAATGGGCTCCCGTACGGCAACGCGGAACGGGCTCGGATTGTCCCTGTGCGCCCCCCGTATCCCACCGCGGCGGGGGCGGGGCTGGGTGGAGACGCGCCGGGACGGCGGTTATCGGCAGCGCGCATGCGCGACGTGTGACGTCACGCGTTTGCGGATGACGTAACGCCATTGCTGCCTGAGGCGATGTTGATCCCGCCCTCACAGCGATGGCGGCACTGAGGGGCGTGAGGGTTCTATGAGGGCTCCCTGAGGGCTCCGATCTTCTGAGCTCTCCAGTCACGGACACAGAGTCTGGCTGAGAAGGGCACATTGTTTATTCTGCGCAGAGCGCAGGGGGGAGGTTTCCACAATCAAACCGCCCAACGGGTGGAAAGTCATCTCTTTTATATAGTAAAATTCACATGAATTCACCTGTCTAATACATATTTATTTGGGCGGTTGATCGTGGAACACAAAACTTACTTTGTTCATCGAGAAGTGAGAAAATTCAGCCCGGGGACAGATAATCCAACTTGAAGATATCAAGGAGACACTGTTTATTGTGTACAGGGTGTGAGGTGTGGGTCTCCACAAATCGAGTACACCAAGGGGTGAAAAGTTACCTTTCTATGCAGTAAAATAAATATGAACCTACCTGTCTAATTCATATTCACCACCTACCTAATGCATGTTTGCTTGGGTGATGTAATTTTACTCAATGCTTGCTTGCTTTGGGTGAATCTTAGAGGATAAGAAACAAAAGTTTGCCTTTTCCTCATGGAGCATCTTCTGTTGCAGAAGTTATTAGAAGCTACATGATGACATCAGTTACATTTACAAAAGGTGAGAGAATTCAGCCTGGAGACAGATAATTCAAGTTGAAGACATCATCCACGTCCATCAGAGATCCAGGTTTTAAAAAATAATGTGGAATGATTTGCTAAAGGAATTTGATAGGTGGGGGAGGCAAAGGCAGGGGAAGATAAAAATGAACAGAATTCCCTTCTGGCTGTGCAGGTAGCTTTTTTATAGGGATCTTGGATTTCTTTACAGATTGTTTAAATGAGCTTTTTGCATGGGTTGCTTCTGGAATTGGTGAACCTTGTGCTCCATGATGTGAATGCAGGTGTTTCCCCCTCTTGAGCTGGTATCAGTTCAGGGAGTTGGGCTTGTCCCAGCACTCACACCTTGCTGATAAAGTCTCTGCAAGAGAAGAGGTGGGTTTGCACTGTCCTTTTCTTGGAAAGAAATGTAGAATAGTTATAGATTGGAAAGATTGGGGCCCCACACACACCATGAACCCTCTGCTGTTTGCACCTACAAGGTTATTTTCCACCTTGTGTTGCCTCCTGTGCTGTTCAGGGACATTCTGGGATTTTTTGCAAACTATGTCAAATATTTTGAATAAATTCCTCAGGGGTATTTCTCAGAATGAGCAAAAGGCAAAATTCTTCACTAATACCCACCAGAGGAGAGCAAGCTGGAGTTTCCAGACCAGCTTTGGAGTAAGAACACTAAAAAACACCCCACTACTTCCTTCCTGCCTCACCCTTCCAACTCC